ACTCATCACCAAAGACAATCCTGGTTCACTGACCCGTATGGAGTCACGTATGCGGACCCATCATAGACGTTGACCACGACGACATTGTATCATTATAGGCCGTGGGTATGATATCCACCTCAGATACCTTCAGCAGGGAGCCGATTCCTGGCTGACACTCTACCCTGAACGGTTGTCTGCTAGCAGAGGGTGGATTCATTAAACTGTTGCTGAGATGACATTATAACTATAATGAGTACATGAACAGCCTTACAACTTTACAATCGCTATGATTTGTGCTGCCGAAACAAAAGTAAAAACAAAGATTTACCCGCTCATGTGTATTACTCATAACATGGGTGTCATGCTTAATGTTGATGAGTAAATATAACAATATTGTTTTGTGAGACCATTTTGTTATTTATTACACTAAAAGCAGTAAAATAACACTGTACTTTTGTTTGATCATGTCAGTATCATTTCATAGTAAATTGATATCCGACATATTCGTACCCAAAACAACTTAAACCATATTCCGCTGTGAGTGAGTGAATGAGAGAGTTATATTATTTATTATCATATATTATAATTGGACGATATTGCTATTAGTTGACTGATTTGCATTGACGCAGTCTTTAACTGCATGGTCAGTTCCTTATCTCGCGCCTCCAGAATGCTAGTTCGTAAGTTATCAAACATTTAATATTGCTCTGAGGTCTCTAGCGAGCTGTCACTGAGGACTCCTTGTGAACGTGCTGGTAATGATGGACTTCTGATTGGTATCAGTGTCAGTATGACTGCAGGAAAGTATACAGGGATATTATCTGATTTCTGGAGATAAAGTGTTCTGCTGGAGAACCCAGGTGTTTCTGGCAACTAATTCATTATATCAGGTTCCGATTCGTGGTCAGTTGGTGCTTGTATGTAAAGTGATATGTGGAAGTTGCTATATGCTCTTTACATGATCCTGCTATTCATGACCTGTTATCATTTGCTGTGTGTGTGCGCATACAAACTGATAATATAGCTCGCAAATTATGTTTCTAAACGCTACTGTTTCACTTGTACATAATATGTAAATACATGTGTTCTACGGGTGGATAATGTTGCAGAGAATGTGACTGTCTTTAGTTCTTACAACACAAAACAAATTCGATGCGCAAGTTTGACTTATTCGCTATCATATGCAAACGACCATATCAGAAACCATTTGCCAATAGTTACCATAAACTGATATTAACAGATCCGGAGTGATGTGGACTGGAAACACCTTCGGCAGCCTTCTAGCAACTAGGGTTACAACTTTACAATCGCTATGATTTGTGCTGCCGAAGCATGTGCAGTTTTACCTACTGCGTCTGGAGAAAATAAGAAACCATTTAGACATATGCTGTATAGTAATAGGACAGTGGGTGTGTAAAAGAACCAGTAGACCATATTTAGAACGTTAAGAAGCAGTAGAACGTGTGATGCAAAATGAAACAATTAACAAATATTGTGTTTACTCACATTCTCGGAGGTCATAACACGTTGACCGCCTTTCACGAGTGTACTCGTAGTATCTATTCTGGCCGAATTTGCCACTACGAGTTATCTCATAGCTACATCAGTGATATTTTAAAACAAGTTTCACATGTTGGCAAAATAGGGACAAGAAACAAACGTCTCCTGAATTATTGTTCGTTGGAAGACGTTTCTGGTTCAAAAAATATTGCCACAGCAAGAGATATGTTGGTGATTGTGTGTTAAAACGTTTTGTGCATCATCCTCGTCGATCAGATTTGAAGGGGTCATCAAGCGACGATGTCGTTTTGGCCATACTAGATATACTCATTAATGCCTTTTCAAAGGTGAAGATCCTCCATTTTGCATTCCTTGTGATGACACAATCACAGTAAAACATGTCCTGCTTGACTGTATTGATTTTTTCATCACAAGGGACAAGTATTTCAGTGTAAAAACGACGAGGGTTCTTTTTAAGAATGTATGTGTTCGTTTAATCATTGAGGTTTTAAAATAACTGAATTAATTGATAAATGTTGATATGTATTGTTATTAGCATATGAATTGTAATTTGTGAGAATGAATAAATAACGTTGCAGGTAGCAAAGGTATTGTAAGTCCCCTTGGTCCCTTTGGTCCCTATTTTCAGTTGCTGGCGATCTATAGCCCCATTTTATGTTGTAATGCCCTAAATACTATATAATTTTAAGTTATATGCTAGTTTTAAGTCTATAACTGTGATATACTAGTTGTTTTAATGTCCTTTTGGCGACAGATTTTATCAAATATAATTATGAAGTACTTACTGTTTTAGTCACGATACGGTTGAAATATTGCCAAAGTGATTTTAACTCACTTACTCTCTCACTCATCGTTTATCCTCAAGTTCATAATATCTTTATTCACTTATGATAAATACCTTGAACCAGGTGTTATGTGACGAGGCCATGCTCGAGTCATATTTCATTTTGTCTTCCCCAATAAACGTGCCTGTGTTCATTTAGGCTACATAGGGTGTCCAAGAGAAATCCAAACTTTCTCCCATTATGTGTGTGTCATTAAAGTATGAACCCTGATGTTACAAAGGGTTACAACTACAAAAATCCTAGGTTTGTATCCAGATGTATTCCAACTGTAGTATTGCTACACAAGTATATTTGTTGGTGGCCCACTTTCCTGTGTTGCAATATGCTGTGCAGAGTTACATCCCTTAGAAGACTAGAAACCTTTCATTTTACCACACCAATGCTTGTGGTCTCCATTAAAGTATTGAACGTGCACCACAGCATTGCACTACAACTGCAGCACCCACTGGATATCTCGCCAGTGACACAACATACAAGTGGTGAGTGGTGAGTAATATACTCATTTTCAAGTAAACTATGTTGTATCGAGTTAGACACAGTGGCAGATCATCAATAAAACATTAAGAAGGAAATCAGCCTTTATTGTATGCAGATCCACACAAGGAAAGCAGTTATGTTTACAAAGCTCTTACGGGAAAACGTGGAAACATAAATGAGTCAGTGAGTTAAAATTTAGTGTTGCATCAGCATTTTGCAGCCATATAGCGACAAGACCACGTCTATGCATGTTCATAAGTGAATCAGTAATACAATATTAAAATGCAAAGTCGCTATATACATTGAAACATAGCAAAATTATTCAGATCTGTGTATAACACATGCTATAACTATCAATAAAGTGAGCGTTATGTTGTCATGTCATTTAGAGACCATGGCACGCCAAGCGTTATATTATTCTGAATCGCACCATCTTGTGAAGTTATAACATACTATAGTGACAAAGATGTAATCTGCGTTGTAATATATACACGTGTTTATGTACGTTTCATACACTGTTTGTAAATACCAACCTATTTACGAGGATACTTTACAAACATGACACAAGCTGATAGTATGGTGATCTACCTTCAGTTGCTTGCGATCTATAGCCCATTTGTATGGTATAGTGTCCTACGTAGTGTACGTGGTAGTTTTAAACCTTTAACTGTAATATACTAGTTGTTTTACTGTCCTTTGGCGACATATTTTATATATTTTATAAGTATTTACTGTTTTAGTCACGATATGGCTGAAATATTGCCAAAGTGACTTTAAATTTTAACTCAATCACTCACACAATCTCACGTCAAGCGAGCCGTTACGTCCATGTGCGGTTTGTCACCGAAAATACACGGCCAACATTTTCAAGCTAATGTACAAACACTGTCACGTGACCAGCATCACATTTCAAGCGGAAGTCCTATGCCCGGTATGCACAAACATGCACCCGAGTCAACCAGGACCGTGTCCTTCTTTGTTTAATACGCTGGATTACAACATTACGACAGACAGTCGGAATACCGGACTCGTACTCTGTTTTGACCATCTACATGTAGATGATGAGTATATATAATTAATTGCCTGACAAGTCAATGTACAATGCGGAAGTGATAAGGATTACATAGAATACAGATTAGCATCATATAAATAATTACAATAAAGTCTCACATGTCTTGAGTACATAGTATTTTACTTTTTAAATATTTGGACGATGGCTGGCCTGAATTAGTCCCTATAACACTACGATGACATACAACATACCAGGTCACATTCAAGGTAGTTGCAAGGGCTATTTGGTGATTGTCCGATAGTATTCATAATGAGTGCATGTACCGTGCATACAATTTCTCCAACTATACAGTCTATATTTTGTTGTTACCACGAAACGGCTGGTTACAAGGTTACCTTCGATCAGTATGATCGCAAGGAGCAACAATCCTGTTAAATCAAGATCAAATTAAGAGTGCAAATTCAGATTGAGTGCAGTACAAGTAACAGTTACAAATGTATAAACTATGAGCCTCAGATGTTTCATTCATTATATATATTTTTTCAAACTGCGCGTAAAAGTATTCAACATTTCAAGGATGAAATTAGGTCAGGTTGTACCTCACCTTTTCTCTAATATCTGCTATCATCACTTTTTGGCAGTCATTCAAAACCACAAGTTTATGAATGAGTCGGAATGGTACGATGTTTTCAGAAAAAATGTAGTTTTAGATATATTTCACACACCTATGCCCTTCAACCCTTGTTGGGTTTGGCATACACGTCCCCAGTGTTGACATCTTCAGACACCTTTGGATCATCTTGTCTCTTCTTCTTGGGTTTCTTTACTACAGCATATATATCTGAAACTGATGTTTACACAATGAGTTTTCAATGTGCCTCCCATATGTTGGTTTGTTTGTTGGTTGGTTGTCTCACCCGCACTCAGTGTGTAAATAATCGTTTCTGGACCAGTGGTGGTACGCAGCGGTCAAACGTTGACACGCATAAGATGCATCAACCACGTCCACGGGTGTGATGGCCCGGTCCCTTTAGTCGTCTCTGACAACAAACACAGGTCAGCGATGACCATTTCTGACCTGAACAGGTCGTGCCACGCATTTACCTTTATTAATGACTGCATCATGGATAATAAACTAAACAATCGATCAGCCTCACCTTGTTGAACATTTGAAGACCTGCTTTTATCAGGTTTAGCATACAGGTTGTCTACGTCGACGTCACATGACGCACCCTGCTCACGTGGTGTGCACGTGCTCGTAGCTAGCATATCCACACTCGCGTATGCATCTGGAGAAACATTATAATGTTAAAATAAACTCATGGCAAATACCAGTATTCCAGAAAACATATCCACTTATGTAAGTATAAACAAATATTATGATACACTACCGACAAAACTAAGAATTTGAATGCAGCTAACGTTGAGGTGGACGTGTGCAATACCGTGGCGTTGCAGCTGAACGCAACATCCAATCACAATGAAATTCCATTATGCTGCATGAACAACACGTGATGCACGTGCACACAGAAGCTACACTGTGTCTAAGTATTGGAGAACTCACAATCACTAATACAATTGAGGTGAATACACGCTGAAAAATGCCTCCGAGGCAGTATCTCAAATCTCAAATGAACAGACAAATTGGAGAATTGTGGGTCTGATAGAAGGGGGAACACCACTGCGCCACTTGTCCGTATGTTGGGTAAATCCAAAAGTGTAATTTCACGCCTGTGGGACAAGTACCGTCAAACGGGTGGGGCTGCAATGAGACCTGGGCGTGGTAGACCAAAATCAACGGCACCTAGACAAGATGGTCTCATTACATTCATGGCCCTACGCAATAGGTTCAAATCAGCACCTGCTATCAATAGGGAATTCCGTACAATAACTGGACGACGAATTTCAGTAATAACCGTTAAGAACCGACTCTATCAAGCCCGTCTGAAAGCAAGGCGGTCTGTGAAGGGTGTCACCCTGACAGCTCACCATAGGCACTAAAGATTGGTTTGGGCAAGGCAGCATCAGTGACGGGCTTTGCGCCATTGGCGTTGCACCATGTTCTTGGATGAGTCAAGGTTTGCCTCCGATTCACAGATGGCAGAAAACGTTGTTGGCGCCGTAGCGGTGAGCGGTATGCCAGAGCGGCAATTATTGACCATGATCAGTATGGGGGCGGTAGTATCATGGTGTGGGGTGTTATTACACATGACAGGCGATCGGATCTGGTCATCGTTAATGGACACTTGACTAGACAGCGATATGTTGACGAAATTTTGCGTCCTGTCGTGGCTCCACTGGCTAGAATTATCGGCAGGAAGTTTGAATTCCAAGATGATAGTGTCCGACTACATCGTGCCCAAGTCGTCACCGCTTATCTCCGACGAGAGGGTATACAGTCATTAGACTGGCCCTCTAAGTTCCCAGACATGTCCCCAATTGAGCCTCTATGGGACGTTCTCGGCCGGAGGGTCTACGCCAGGGACCCCGCACCCGTCAACCTGGCCCAACTTGGGGCAGCTCTTCAGGTGGAATGGCGGCAAATACCACGGGCAACCATCCGGAGGCTAATCAACAGTATGCCATCAAGGTGTCGTGTATGTGTCGCCCAACATGTTGGACACACCAGATATTGATCTTTACCCCGAAATTGATTTTGTGGACATTTAGAGCAATTACACATTCATTGTCATTTCATCATTTCCTTTATTTTGTCGGTAGTATAGTTAAGACAAAATTATAGAATGGGATCAGATCGACCTTTCAAGTCTTCATTGTAACATTTATAAGAGACATGTTATAAGGCAGTGTCACCTGACATAATGAAGTCATCCTCTCCTGATTTTCAGCTTCGTTGGTAGGGGCGATATCACGTGACCGTCTATACAACTCATTTTCGACTGAAATATACAAAACAACTCATAACAGAACGTGGACTATCAAACATGAAATATTGCAAGGGTAAAGTTGATTGGAGAGACGGGGACGTCAAAGGAGCTCTCATTCAGATAAGTATCGGCTGTATAATACAAATATTTGACTCCATGTAGAAGACAAATACAATATTATCGTGGGAACATAGCATGAGGTCCTGTATCACAGTTGCCACCTGCAGTCTGATTCCAAATTCAGTTATTTTATCATCGAGTTATACAAACAGCAATAAGATGATTGATAAAACATACCCATGTCGCAATTTGCCGCGTTTGGATCAACTTGAGCGCTGGAAGAAAAACTGAAATAACTTATATGGGTGACAAGCAATGTAAATAATCTTCAACAAACAACTTTAAACATTCACATTGCGAGGGAGTGGGAAAAGGAGGAGACGTGTGGAATCATATCTTAGACCCTCTCTGTGTGTGCGTGGAGGATCCGTAAGTAAGTGAGTGAGTTTAGTTTTACATCGCTTTTAGCAATATTACAGCAATATCACGGCGGGAGACACCAGAAATGGGCTGCACACATTGTACTCATGTGGAGAATCGAACCCGCGTCTTCGGCGTGACGAGCGAACGCTTTAACCACTAGGCTACCCCACCGCCCCCTGTGAGTGTGTTCAGATGTGTTTGTGTGTGAATTTGGATGCGTGAGCTTCCATGTTTTGTGTAAAATGTTTGTGTACGTCATTGTAATATACTCACGCCGTAACGTTCGTTTCTCCTTTCATATCTTCCTTCTGATCTGGAAAGAGAAATGTTCGGCGTTATGCTGCACCGTGACCGTTAACAAGATATAACTCTGACAATCGATAAAAGATACCTGATTGTAAACGCACAATATATATGATATTACTTCCAGTATTTAAACTGCCTTTTAGGTTAAACATTATTATTTATGTCTTTGCCAAAATTTTATATTAGCGAAACTTATGTTACATTTCAGTACAAACACTGCCCGTGCTGCTTGTCTTCTCCGTCGGATACACACGATGCCGACGACAACGACGACAAGCAGAACAGCTCCACCTACAGCACCAACCACGATGTAGATGGTGTCTGTATCACCGTCATCTGTAGAGACTGAAACACAGTATAATGCTTGGTCCAGGACACAGTCAGATACAGCTTGTGACGATTGAGGGGGTTATATGTCTGCAGTGTGAGAAAATGTCATGTAAAGGACTCACTGAACATAAGTATCACACACTGGTCCTAGACCTAATAAGGACACAGCTTGAAATGTCAGGGGGAGGTAACATGTGCTACAATACTTTACTTTTACAGTGTTCTGATTGCAGAAATCGCAGGCTGTGACTCACTGACTTGGTTGATAAGATGACTTTGTACCATTTCTAGCAACATCGGGTCATTTCTAGCAACATCGACAACATTACTGGGTGTGGCTACACTATAAACAGAGACTGGTGTTGATGACGTATAACAACATATCATTCTCGACAATCATATCGCTAACTGATATACAATATAGTCTCTACACTGGCCTTGTGTTTGTCTGCATACATTGTCCAGTGTGCTTTGTTCTCCATCAGGTATGGTTAATAGCTGATTACATGTCAATGAGTAAATAGATACTCGCATGAAAGACATTGTTGTCATATATTCGTGTTGCATAAAAGAGTTTCTATTCGGTAGAGTAACTACTTTTAGTAAATCGTTAAAAATGCAATAGCGTATGTAATAATGCTTATGACGTTCTAATGATTACAATGTTGTTGTCATTGTTCAAATTCCGTCGAAGCAATACGTCACAAATAGGACCCAAACTAATTCACGTATTATTTGGTATGTCTTTGGGTGTTTACTTTACTCTTCGCTTAACATTTCCACATCGCATTCGCATTATGAAACAACATTACACAGCCTTTTCATAATGATTAATACAAAAAATACAGTCTTACAATCTTTCCGAATGTAAGATCAATTTCTAAACTCAATAATTCATAATCTTAAATGTTTCACCAGTGGAACAGGAAGTGGAACTGTCAAAGTAAACTACCATTCTGTGGTGTCACTGTCCCTGGTTTGGACGTTGTCTCCATATACCGGGTCGTTGTTGATGAAGACTGAGTTGACGTGACAGGACTTGCAACACCTGAAAAGAGATTGGTCACTGACTTGATGTTTCGGTTGTTTTCAAACCGCGCGTGTCTGTCACTGACATCAGCTTTTGGCTGTTTTAATTTTATTGCTAATTTTGCTGACTATTTACTGTGATGTCAAAGATAATTTTTGGAACTGGAATAGGAAGTGAGTACGATACGTACATATCAGAGAGAATTACCTTTCTGTGGTGTCACTGTCCCAGGTTCGGACGTAGTCTCCATATACCGGGTCGTTGTTGGTGAAGACTGAGTTGACGTGACAGAACTTGAAACTACTGAAAGTAGATTGGTCATTCACTCGACTGTTTGGGCATGTTCCCCTTACCTGAGAGACGAGTGTTTATCTCTGTTTATATGATGAACCTACTTCTTAAGCATTAGGCTTGTAGAACGTAGCCATTCTTTTCAGTAGATTGTTTTAATATTTTCTTAGATACACAGTGAAATTGAAACAGACCCATGTTCCAAATAGATGAAGTATATAAGAAACGATTTGTTCGATAGCATCTTAATCCTTATTCATGTTACTTTTGAGGCCAAAAAGGAAACCACTCGCCTTTCGCATAAAAAAGGTACTTACTGGTGTTTTAAAAGCCTACAACCATGAATAGGTAAAACGGTAATCTATAACTTAAAACAAAAGTCTCAGGACTATAGTGTAATGGACGATCAATGAGGACGTTACTGTGACGTCATAATACGAGATTAGAATGTAGCTGAAGAATGAGAACAATTGTATTCTTTATTCAGTATAGGCGACGTTTCGACATAGATTTTAATGTCGTTCTCAAGGAAGTGCTTGACAACGATATCAGAATCTATGTATATCCCTCAATACTGTCCTCATTCTTCATCTCCTCAACTTCTAGAATGCCAATCAAAGAAGTAAAATGTTGCTGTCATTGTTTGACGATCGTTGCGGATCAGCTACCGCTAACCTTTGTGGTAAGCAGTACAGCCTAAAACAGCAATTAATTCACATATTATTTGATATAGATGTACAATACCCAGTCTTTGACGTTTTACTTCGGCCTGACATTTCCAAATATATCGCATTGTTTGTGCAATATATTAAGTCAAAGATCGCGACATTTAAGACTTGGTATTGTGCAGATATACTTGGTCACAGTTAATTCCCATTAGGAAACAGCATACACCCATGATAACATACATGTCAGAGTCGTTACACATTTTCATAATAACATAAATACACACAGTGAAACTGTCTTTCTGAGTATTATGTCTACATAAAGAATTTCACCTTCTAAACGCAATTTTCCTTAAGTATTTCACCACTGGAACGACCTGTAAATCGTTCAGTTACAACTCCTACTGTCTGGTCTGACTTCCTACGTAAACTGTTCATGCTCCACTGATCAGTATATCGTTATCCTGTAGATATCCTGATTAGGATATGTTCATTTCACCTTTCTGTGAAGTCATTGCCTCAGGTTCGGACGTAGTCTCCATATACCGGGTCGTTGTTGATGAAGACTGAGTTGACGTGACAGGACTTGCAACACCTGAAAGGAGATTGGTCACTGACTTGATGTTTAGTTTGTTTTCAAACCAGACGTGTCTGTCACTGACATCAGCTTTTAGGTGTTATTAGTTTTATGGCTATAGATGATTACATTGCCGACAATCTACTGTGATGTCAAAGATAATTATCGGAACTGGAATAGGAAGTGAGTACGATGTGTACATATCAGAGAGAATTACTTTTATGTGGTGTCACTGTCCCAGGTTCGGACGTAGTCTCCATATACCGGGTCGTTGTTGTTGAAGACTGAGTTGACGTGACAGGACTTGCAACTCCTGAAAGTAGATTGGTCATTGACTTGATATTTGGGCATGTTCCTCCTTATCTCTGAGACGAGTGTTTATATCTGTGAATGATGAGTATGCTTATCGGTAATCTGGCTTGGAGAACATAGCCATTCATTTCAGTCTATCTTATTATTTATAATATTATTCTATACACAGTGAAATTAAAACAGACACAGGTTCCAAATAATTAAATATATTTCCGCAAAGATTTCTTCGATAATGTGTCAATCCTTACTCAGAATGCTGTTTGTCTTCAAACAGCACGTGTCTGTCACTGACGTGTTTATTAAATTTATTCATGCCAATAGATGATTACATTGCTTCCATTTTACTGCATTGTCAAAAATATAAAATGAATACAGCTAATACGTCATACCCACCTACACTATGAATGTTGCTTCTCGGGTATATGTAGTTGTCGTTTACAAGCTTCCCGCACTGCCATCCTCCCTGGTCTGTAGTGGAGTTGAACCTAAACTCTATACTGTGGACCGTGTCATTGCAGCTCACACTGAAACGGTTGATGTTATTATTCCCCATAGGGGGTGGTTGCTTAGTACAATTGTTGCTCATTTGCGTAATGACCTTTGGTGTATTGTTCTGCAACCATGCTATGTTTACTACAGAGCCAGAAGAGTCGCTACAGATCAAGGTGAGGTTTTCTCCGTCTGTTGCTGTAACTGGTGAGCTCGTCAGTACCAATTCAGCTGGGGAAGCAAAGGAATCATAATTAGAGTTAATAGAACAGTTTATGATGTAATCTGTGTCAGTTGCCAGTTATCTTGACGCTAGCCACGCTTATCAGTTTCACATAATACACTGCACAATACACTGAATCAGTGTATGATATTATACTCATACGTCAATCGATAACAAATACCGAGACAACGCATACAATATTACCCTATTGTTAGAATGTGCTTCACACATTGTATTAATTGTACCCGTTTGAGGAATCGTACACGGGGCTTTCGGCATGACGATTGAACGACGAATGATTATCATGTTTTGTCAGATATATGTACATTAAATGACTGGGAGACTCATAAGGCGTTCAGTTACTTCCATTTAATACGGAATGATCATTTGTATGTGTAAGCGCACATTGTGGGGTAGACATGTCACAGGCACATACACTCATACTCACCATCACCTGGCATAGATCCATGTATAACGCCTATCCACACACAGATCAGTATGTTCCAGAACTTCATTGTAGCGTCACACATTCCAAAATATGTCTTAAAATGACTTCAAGCATCCACATTGTATGGAAACAAAACAGGACGGCGACAGCAACTCTCACTACCGTCTACTTGTGATCTCACAGGTTTCAACAAAATATGGCATGTGTTTCGCAACACAGCTACATACATGGCCAGTATCGTACAGTAGTACTACCTTGTATACTGGTTACAACATGACCAGGATGTGAAATGTTATTTCTATACGCAACAGGTATAGTCAAGGATCAATATTCTTTGTTTCTTACATAGTCCACAGTGAAATAGACAAACTCTGTGTACAACAAAATCCTGTGTCGTAGTTCAGTTTATGCTATTCTGTCAACATAACCTAAACTTGAATACCGGTCTGACTTGTTTTCAATACCCGCTTATCTGTTTCACCCAGGTATTTTTTGTGCAACGAGGAAGTCGTCTCATCAGTTAGAGTATTGTCGTATTAATAAAACAGGAACATTATGCAACTCATGTTATAACAACTGTCCACAACAGCGCATGTTTCTGTATCCAGACATGAGCGCTGCTTGAGTTGCTGTAAATGAATATCAGGACTGTCAACTTCTCTCATTTACAGGGAAAGGGTTTCACGGTAAATACAAACTCATATGAGTGAAGTCACTCTAAAGTCTACAGCCATTATTTTTCGGGAAAGTGGTTTGCTGTCAGTTGTTAATGTGTACAGTTTCTTTATAAAACAGCTCCACAAAGAAAGCTATGCTACTTTATGGGTAACGACTTCTTTATGGTATTATGATGTGACGTTTCAGTATAGATGTTTATACCGTTGTCAAGCCAGAGTGACCAGAGTTGTCACCCATAAAGTAGCATACCTTTCTTATAATTCATCAGCTTCAAACCAAACAATTGAGTTGAGTGAGTTTAGTTTTACGCCGCACTCAGCAATATTCCAGCTATGTGGCGGCGGTCTGTAACTAATTGAGTCTGGATCAGGCAATCCAGTGATTACATCATGAGCATCAATCTACGCAATTAGGATACGATGACATGTGTCAAAAAAGTCAGCGAATCTGACCACCCGATCCCGTTAGTCGCCTCTTACGACAAGCATGGGTTGCTGAGCACCGATTCTAACCCGCATGTTTAAGGGACGGGTTTCAATATACACGCTAGACTTGTTCTTACCGACTCACTTTTATATCGACGCCTGTTATTGCTGAACATATGTATGAAGGTACGATGATGACTGTAAGTGATTAGACTCCCGTGCTTGCGGATTGTGGTATTCAAATTCTCTGACAGGAATGGACGGTGGGGTGGCTTTGTGGTTTAAATGGTTCGAAGGTCAAGGTTCGCCTCCCCACATGGGTGTAATGTGTAAAGTCATTTTGTTTATGTCCCAAATTGTGGTGTTGCTAGAATACTGCTGAAACCGGCGTAAAGCATTCCACAATCTCTCACTCACTCATTCGCTCACTCACTCGATATTGGTTACACAATGCAATTCTCCGTATCACAAACACTTTCTACATCACATTCTCACTTTTTCCTGACAGATAAACAAACGATAAAAAGCGTCAATGGCAATTTTGTATGACCGTGTGTTAGGTTGAACCAAATAAATTGTACAAACACAGTAATAGTATTCTGGCGTGCAAACACTGTTAAGAAGGCAATGTTTTTGGTGGGAAATACTGTGAGCAGTATCAGTATTTATGCCATGTTTTACCTCCACTTTTCACCTACTCATATCAGCCAGTATCTTCCTGGTTTGCGTCTTCTGTCACAGTTTTGCTTACTGACCGAGTTTGGTTGTACGCCGCTTTTAGCAATATTCCAGCAACATCACGGCGTGGGACACCAGAAATGGGCTTCACACAATGTACCCATGTGGGGATTCGGACCCGGGTCTTCGGCGTTACGAGCCAACGCTTTAACCACTAGGCTACCCCACCGCCCCGTTTTGCTTACTAGTGTTGCACTCAGAACATAATAAACCTTTTGGGCCAGGCTCCTGTGTGTTGCTTAGACTCCGGGACGCAAGGAGTCCTATCAACACAAGCAGCTCAAGGCCAAGTCGAGATTAATATAAGAGTACACAGCTAATCCAGAACAGAACATGTGCGTAACGACCCCACTTCCTGTGTCACACACGTCCCCTGCCTTCGACATAGTGTAATATTACACTATGTCGAAGGCAGGGGACTGACTCGTGTCAGTTGTAACCTTGATCGAACGAACTTCTGGGCAAGAGTGGCATGACCGTCTTTGAAATCCTGATAAAAAGAACACGCTCGATTGTACCTCAAAAATTGTGAAATGTAAACACCAATGTGAAGATTTTAGGGTCACTGTTACTCTTTATGCATGGATATAAGTATGGAACAGTGAGGCGGTCTCACATGTCTCCTGAATTTCAAGTTCAGGTGGGTAAATCAGTGGAAGGCAATTGGCTATATGATGGTTACTGAACGATATTTAATGAGGAAGCTTAAGTTAGACGTATTGGCCAAATTACATTGTTTCTATTTTGCCAACCCAAGCAGAAATTCTGATTCAAATGCATAAAGAAACAGATTAGCAAGGAGGGGAGCACAGTTGGTGCCCATGGGGATGCCTACTTCTTGGCGAAACGATTTACCCCAAAGACTTGAGTAAATAATGCAGTCGCCCAGGAAGGCCAATACAATTAAGAGACTTCAGAATCCATTCATGAGGGACAATCACATGCATTTTTGTAGTCAATCCAGCACATGGAGAGTTTGCGTTGACATGTTTTAGCCTCTTTCGAAATCTATTTCTGTATTTTCTGTAGAGGTTGACCCTCGCAGCCCCAACATCCCTTCCTCGCTTCCTTTCTCACAGTTGGCACCGTCTGGGTGGCTACGGTGACCGACGTCAAAACTGCTGATGTGGACGTTTCTGTGCTCGCTTACTGTAGAGTTGTAAAACCAAAAGGACACAGTACAGATAATGTGCCTGTACTCATGATTAGTAACACACGGAAAACCACTGTGCTTGATATTCTTGTATTTTGTTTGGCCTATTAGGTCAAAATTCCTGGTGGACTAGTCGGATCAAAAAGCCAATCAGCGTGAACTTCCAAGAACTGATTACAATTCTTTAAAAGTTATATTAACAGCCAAAGAGTATTTCCAGGTGGTCGATAATCCATTATCTTATTATGCAGAGAGAAGACCGTGTGTACGCCGTATGTACGACTTGTGATAACACTAGGCGACATCACACAACCTGTTCACATTGGGTTGTTAGGCTTACCTTGGCTGTCAGCTGGATGTCTTCCTGCTCCAATAGTCTGTACCCGGAGAGTTCGAAGCTCTTCCTGCAGCTTCTGTAGCCGGCCTTCAACAAGCTGCAACATAACAAATAGAAGACGAGTCATCCTACTGTAATCATCTGTCTAAACATCTCTATTCAAAGTGTGTGTGCATGTAAAATATAGCTAAATTATTCTGCTTTGTTTGCTGTTTAACTGAGCACCCAGGAATACTTCAGACATGTGTCAGCTGTCTGCAAATGTGTCCGAACAAGACAGTATAGTGTCTGATATCACGGCCATCAGTCTGCACAGTTGTGATACAACCCGTGAAAGTAGTAGGGAGACTGGTGGTTCAAGTGTCCACCTCATAAATTGACCAGTCATCGGTTCAACGCGTTCATACAGGATTACCTGTAAGTTATTTCATCCACTCAATTTAGTGAGGAACACAACCATTTTAGACATTTGCTATTTAGGAATAGATACAGTAGGCGTGTAAAGAGCCCGGTGACATATTGAAACGGTTAGAACAAGTAACACGTGTGCTGCAGAAACAATTAACAAATATTGTGTTTACTCACATTCACGGAGGTCATAACCCGTTGTGCCACTGCCAATAAAGGGGTTGAGGATATCGACGATGAGGACGATAACCTCTGTGACGAGGCCTGTGCCGGCGCCTCTGTCGTAGGGGTAGCCTATTGAGCTGCCTGGGTTGCCGTCCATTGGCTGCATGGGGTGGCTAGGATCCCTGTGGTCTGCCCTGGCTGGGAAACATAATTGAAAAATTGCGATGAACGATGCGAATTGCAGAAAAAAGACGTAAAAATCGACAAATGTGACAGAGGTGTGAAGGCACCCGTGTTTAATATAGTACGACATAAGGGAGAAACCATTTCAAAGAAGGGATCTTTCTTCTCCTCCTTGGCAATTAGTGAGGCCACAGGTTGACTTAACATTAACCACATTTAAAAAGTCTGAAAGTAATGAATTACAATATGAACAATAATTTAATCAATTAAAATGTAAATATAATACATACAAATCTTTATTTACAGGTGGGTACAAATATGGTGGAGCAGTTGCTTGTGCCACTGTGGATCCAGACCAATATCCTCTAGATTACCAGATAACAGCTCAATATTCACAACAGAAGCAAAGTCCATACTAACAGCTCTTATATATGTTGATAGACATTCTACGTGCGTTGTACGTGTGAGATTGA